TGTTACGTTTTACAAAGGATACGGCTCTTTACATTAAAATTGGTTTTTGACTTAAATGAAAGAAAAAATTATCCCTAATAATTTTTAAAAAATATTTCAATTTAAATAAGCAAAATGATTTTTTTTAATATTAAATATAAAAGAGAATTATAAATTTTTTATTTCGAGTCTTATAAAAATTATGGGGTGAATTTATAATTTTCTAAATTTATGTTTTAAATGGTATTTTGGTATTTTCAAGTTAAAAGACATACTCCAATTCGCGAAATCCGTGCGTGCAACATACATTCACCTCGTAAAAATCTTATTAGCTTTGATTAATTTCTATAAGGGGATATTTGCTAATATTTTTAACATGAGCGTTTTTTCAGCAATTAAAGATTACACACGCATAATTCTTGCAAAAACGCAAATTGAGAGGTTCTAATAACTATTAAATTTATCCAAAGAAAATAATATTGCGTCGATTTTTCTAATGCTTGATGATATTCTTCATTTCTATTTGTTTCTTCATTTCGTATAATTTACTCACCAAGATCAAAATAAATAAAAACAAAAATCTACTTCAGAATCGAGTGGATTCGAAACTATTGATGTTACGTGCAACATTATGATAAAATACAAGATGTAACACAAAATCAAATGAAATATCAACGTGTTGAGCTAAATTGTGATTTATCTACACACTTACCCACTCATTTAAGCAGTGTTCTGAAATTCGAACCGGACGACCAATTAAACAACGAACTATTGTCTTGTCCGATCTGGTTTGACCGGTTAAACTTGTTAACCACAAATTTTTTTATTCTGCATAATATAAATACAAGACATAAAAAATAGGGAACACATAATTTATTTATCAAAACAAAAGTGGATTACAGTCTCCGTGAATTCCCCTGATTGTTCTCTCATATTCTAAAATTGATTCAAGACCTTAAAAACTTTTTCTTGAATCGAATAAGTATAAACACCTCTATTTAAATATGTTATGAATTCGCGGCAGACCCAATTAGATAATCTGTAAAATAAAAATTTATTACTTATTTAAGGATTAATCTATTTGTAAAGCCTAAATATGCTATGGACTTATATTGGAGACCCAATTAATAACATATTTATTTTGCCATTAATTGATGATTTTTTACCAAAATTTCGTTGTCAACCGAACCGTAATATCGGAACCCAACTAAATTGTGTGTGTGTGTTTTTTTTTATATATATAAACAAATATAATGGCCAAAACGACGTACTTTTACTGCATAGTTGAAAAAAACATCAAGTCAATTTTTTTTTTTTAATTTGGAAGACATGTTATTTTTTATTATAATTTCTATAACATTTGAAATGATTCAGTAGTATGATATGTTGTGTGTAAAAGTAAAATAAGTTTGATTTACATTTTAATTAGAAATGAGTAATGAATTAATGTGTGAAAGAAAATATACTTTATTTACTATAAAATTATGTATGAATAATTATAAAATGAAAAATGAAAAATGAAAAATCAATTGAACCCCGATTGAACTGGTTCAACTGTGACCCAATAGCTCGTTCGGGTCAATATCTGGTCCGATTTGCAAAACATTGCATTTTAGTGGTATGTGAACTATATCGACATTAAAATATGATCTTACTTGAATTTTATATTAAGATTTTAGATTTATCTTTTATATGATATACTAAAGAATCTCTTATGTAACTTTGAATCTTAATTTTGTTCTTAATGCTGGCGAAGCCAAGGGGAAACTATGAAGGGGGGGCAGCCACCCCCACAAAAGAATTGAAATTTTCTTTGTATTATTTATTAGGAATATTTTGTTAAATGGTTTTTGGCCCCCCAACAAAAATTGTAAATATATGCCTTAGTTCCTTCATTTTCCTTTTCTTATCGAAATCTTATCTAAATTATGTTATCATTTTTTTGTTTACTTAATATTACATTAATAAACTGGTTAAAATTTATGTATTTTAAATTTATCAATTAGTATCAACTTATTTTTAACTTTATTTATTGATTTCTCTTAAAA